CTACGGGTCATGCACTACCTTCACACAGAATGCAAACACAACCCGTGAATGCACAAAGGTGGAATAGAGAGAATGCAGAAAATAAAAAGCTAGAGTAACAAACTTTCAAGTTTCTACAATAACCTAGAAGTCCCCGGCAACAGCGCCAAAAACTTGACAAGCTAAAACACAACACCAAACTGCGACCAAGTGCAATCGCAGTATGGAAATGCAGTAAGTGGCAAGCTCTATTTTTCAACCCGGGGCCTAGATCTACTACCTACTCCGTGATTATTTATTATCTAGCAAGCTAACCCGAGTGATTGTGGTTTTAACTAAAAGCAAAAAGAAAGAAGGAAATGGTTCAACGTTCTTTAGCAAGGGGAGAGTCACTCGGGAATGAGTCCCCTAGCTCCTTAGTTAGGTCACAGTTGTAATTACCCTGGGTTGATTAACTGTTGATTAAACTCCGGAAGATCCGACAATAGTTTGGAATCTTTTAAGCTGACCAAGCCCACTCAGTCCAACTACCCGGCAGATGACTAGTCTTCACTGGGATAGAAAGCTGAGGCTATGAACACAGAACTCCACTACTAGAATTGGATTCCAGTACAAAGCAATAAATCTATTAACTCTCATATAATCAATCTACCACTACCGATTGATGAAGCTATAACAACCTAATCAGATTCTATCTATCTCAGGTTGCAGCAGAAATCAAGAAAAGATGATCAGGCTTCAATTGATTCAATGAATCATGCATCAATCGATTAAAATCAATCAGTATAACAATCCCAAGTCATTACAATCAAGAGCCCAAACACATGGAACTAGGGTTCTTCATACCCAAGTGAGAGAGGGTTCTACTCCATAGAGAGAGAGGAAAACAGAAATCAGAGTAGTCATACTCATAAAGATGAGGAAAATCTGCTCTGGGATGATGATCTTCACTCCTATGATGATCTCCAAGCTCGATTGATGAAACCCAGCTCCAAAATCACCTCTAGGATGTGTTCTTCGCACTTTCTCTCTCTAGGGCTCTATTTTTTGCTCAAAAACTCGATCCCCTTTCCCTTGACTTGAAACTGCCTCGAAAACCCGATTCTGGGCAAAACACGGTCGAGGGCACGGCTGTGTTTTTCTTTTGCCCGTATGGTCCCTCAACACGTGTTAAAAACACGCCCGCGTAGTATAAAACACCGTCGTGCCTAAAGAATGACACGGTCGTGTTTTGCTTCACTTTCGCCCGTGTTTTGGACTTCGCAGCAGCTCCCAAAAATCAACCCTCGGCATAAATAACATGGTCTGAAACACGATCGTATTTTTCTTTAGGCCAGCCCGTGTTTTGATTCTTCATCATTTCAGCTCTCGCACTAAAAAATACTGGCTTGCTCGTTCGTTTACACGGTCGTGTTCTTCAGGCCTCCTGTCCGTGTTTTGCCCCCAGTTCGACCGAATGACCTCCAAACGCCCCGAATCTCGTGCTTAGACTTTCCTTCGAAGTCTGAGACCTGAAATATGACAAAGTAGCACAACCCAGTGTAAAATGGGCCAAAAATACACGACTACGAGCCGCAAACGGATAAGAACTAAGGGTGCAAACATGTGCAAATACATCGTTATCACCTATCACTAACAATGTGAAAGAATTGGGCTCGCTCACTTGGTGTTTGCTGATGACGTGCTCATCCTCACAAAGGTTCTAAGCAGGGGGTGCAAGTAGTAGATGCAATCCTAGAACATTTCTATAAAGTTTCTATTATGATATGAAGTCCTGAGAAAAGTGAAGTTTCTGTGACGGTTTGTCTGCTGAATGGAGGAAAGAAATTGAAGAAAAATCTGGTTTCCATGTGGAAACTCTACTTGTCAGGTATCTTGGTACCATTAATAGCAGGTAAGCTCAATTCTAAAGTAGTAAAGCTCTATCAATAAAGATAACTCATAAGATAAAGGACTGAAAGTTTAGGCTACTCACATATGCAGGGAAAATACAGTTGGTAATGCAATCTTAGCAAGTACTACATAATAGTGGATGAGTATTTTTAAACTTCAAGGTACATTGATTAAGGAGGCTGAGAGGCTCTGTTCAAAGTTCATATGGTCTTTAGGTAATGAGATCAAGAAGGCAAGGGTAGCATGGGATTTGATTGCACTGCCAAGGGAAGAAGGGGGTCTTGGTTTTAACTTTCAAGAATATGAAGAGTTGGAATATTGCTTGTGTGATCAGACACATTTAGTCTAGTTTAGCATATCATAATTCCTTATGGAATGCTTGGTTGAAGGAGTACAGATTAAGAAACATTAGCTTCTGGCAGGTCAATTGAATCGCTTGTACTGTCACACTAGAAAGTGGTCAAGTGCAACCACCTACTAATGCGTAGTATAACGGGTTTAGCTTTAATTGTCAACCCGGGTCCTAGATGTGATGACTACGCCGTGAAGTTCTTATTATTTAGCGGTTTAACTGTAGTGAAGTGTTAACTAAACTGAATGAACACAATGCAGTAAAAGTTGTAGTTCAAGTTTGAGAGAGGTCACCCAGATATGGTTCCCCCTAGATTGCAGTTAATTTAGGTTATAATTCTCCAAGTCCAGATTCAATGACAGTTATATTGCGGAAGGTTCTTATTCAGTCTGAAGTCTCAACTAAAGGTCTCCAGACCCTCTCAATGTGAGTACCCGACAGGCGACTAACCTCCACCGGAGTAAACAAACTAAGGCCCTAATGTTCAAAACCTCCTCTACTGAAGTAAATCCAGTACAAAGCAGTGAATTGACTCCTCGACTAAAGTAGTCAATTCACCACCTTCAATTAAGAGTGCTCTATCAACCTAGGTAGATATACTCTTTCTACGTCAAAGCAGGAAACACAGGAATTTGATCAAGATTCAAGCAGTTCAGAAAATCATGCCTCAATTGAATATAACGATGTCAAAGAACGTGTACTTTGGTTCATACTACCATACCTAACATACAAATATAGGGTTCTTCAAACCCAAGTGAGAGAGAGAGTTTACTGGTCATCTCCTCCTTGCCGCCAACTCTCCATTTCCGACCCGAAACTCGCTTTCTCGCCTCCATGTCCACGCCAAATCCTGAAATCTGACATAAACGCACAACGTAGCGTGAAATCGGCTTAAAACACGAAAATCAACTCTCAAATGGTTCAAGAATGGTGGCCAAAACATGTGCAAATAATGGTTTATCAAATTCCACCACACGTAACCGTTTGCTGGTCCCCAAGCAAACCTTACTCAAACCAATGCAACTCTCCAAACCTATACAGCACCATGCAATCCCGATCGTCGATAGAGGACTTCCTAGATTATTTAGCGGCTTACAAGGTCAACCGGTCTTCTAAGACATTCCCTATTTCCCTCAATGTGAGTACTAGACTCACACCAGGATCATGCGAAGTAGTGGACCTAGGACAGACGAATCATGGACAAAGAGACTCTCTCACATAATAAAACAACCAAGGACTCTCCGTATTGGGTGCTCTTTCATTCCATTTCACTTGTTGGAACCCCTTTTCTTATTGTTTGTTTCTTTTTCTTTTGCTTTTCACATTCTCACTTTGTTGGGGTTCCAACTGCAGTTTTATGCGCGATCGACCCTTATTAGGTGAGCAAGAGAAATTTATGTACATCTGTAGCTCGCCAGAGTACTTCTTTTAAATCCTTTTCCTCACTTCGTGTGGAGGGTCAATGAAATTAAGGAGGGTTGGAAGCTCTATTTGTGCCTTTAAAAACTCATCCTCAAGTAGGCAAACCGTTCAACGGGTGGAAATTTTACTTGTATTAGAGACGGTTTAGCTTCACCTTGTAGGCCTACCCCACTAAGGATCACTAAAGTCTCTTCCAAAACCCGATTTTGTGCAATGAACGGTGCCACACACGTTGGGCTTACCCCATGTTTAAGATTTTAATTTTTCTAACATGGAGGACCAACTGCTTTATCATTACACACCTGAGAACCCTTATACGCAACATGAGTCCACATACAGCAAGAGAGAGTCATCGATATCACATGAATCAAATGTCATGTGTCCACTAGTTCACACAGTCAACCGACACAACAAAAAGGAAGATAGGGGAGATCTTATACTTCAGCATCCTCCATAGCGCTACAGTATCTCCCTAAATTGCATAGTACTATAAAGACTATCAATTCAAATTATACTGAGCAGGTCATTGCAAGGAACACGTACTTGGAGCCCTCAAATCGAAATTTGGACAGTGGACTAGGCTCCAAGCACACAAACATAGCTAGACAGTCAAAGAAAAACATCCCCCCACACTTAAGTTCGATAGTGCCCTCAATGGAGAATAGGGAAAAAGAGAAGGGGAACGATGTTACCGAGAAGAATAGATTGTAGCAGGACTGGAAAGTGGACCAGTCGGGGATGAGGAGGATTGGAAATGGGGCCAGTCGAAGCAAGAGCACGGGCTAGAGCAAAACCAATCACTCAAACACAAAGGCGTTAGGTAGAGTTGTCAGCCCAATGGTACATCATCCAAAAGGAAAACAATCCAAACACAGAAAACCAGTTGTCACTCTATCCCAAAACAAAATAAAACACAAAATGGCAACGAGTACAACCTACTCGAGCTGGTCGAAGTTAATATGCTCCATGAGGTCGTCGAAGTCCCCTGGTGGTGGTGGGGATTGGTTCCACGGAGAGGTCCAGTGGTGCTCCTGTGGTGGATGGCAGGACTGAAGCAGGTGCTCCTAGTACTCCGTCATCCGACGGTTACGGTCTCGCTCCCGCTCGATGTGAGCAAGTGAGACACCCTCCTGTGTCTCGAGACGGTCGAGGTGCTCATCTAAGCCAGTAAACCTGGCGGCGTACTCAACCTGGTGGGCTGAATACTACTACTGAAACTGGAGCTGCTGGTCCATGAGTTGCTGGTTCTGGATCTCAAGCTGCTGGAATTGGAGCCCCATCAGTGGAATTTCTCGGTGAAGAAATCCATCGTCGGAATAGAATGACCGAAGGAGGACTGACCTCGCTCGGGTCTCTATCGTGGAAGAAGATGCGGGGGCTCCGGCTCATCTATATCCATAGCCCCACCATCATCATCATCATCGTCATCTGCGCTGTCCTCCTCCTTAGTATAATAATCGTCATCCTCAGCATCCTCGTCCACAACTGGAGGCATGGAAAACCCGTCGACCCACTCCCCTGCCTTAGTAGAGGCCAACAGGAGTGCATTGTGAAGCACATCCTTGCTGAGAGGAGAGGAGCCGTCGTGCTTCGTGGCGTTGTTCAACCCCTCAAAGTCGATCTCGAAGTGGCATGCCAGTCGCGTGATCAGGGGACCACAAAAGATGTAGGTGGGCTTAGAGTGGCACCGGGCAAAGGTGGTCGCCACGAAATACCCTAAGTGTAGCAGGTGGTCGGGATCCCCCCATGGAATACATGGCATAGAGCACACGCTTTGGCATCTTGTGTGATCCGGTGGCGTTGGGGGTGACCAAACGGGTGAGCAGGAGGTTGATGATGTGCCACTCTGGTTGGATGGTGGAGACAGTTGTGTGGCTGGCCTCGAACAATCCATGATTGTAGTCAGGACGGGCGATGCGGCGGTAGAAGTTATCCAGGTGGAACTCAACAGGATTGGGGACCTTCTTGTGATGTCTAGAGAACCGATGGTCGTCGATGCTCCTCCTCAGTCGACTCCATCATCAATCTCCCTAGTTTCAACCGCCTTCTACCGCCATTTTGTTCTGCCACTTACTAAATAAATCCACCCCAATCCTTTGCCGCTAGTCCATATCCCTACTCTTCTACAAACAAAGAAGCAAGCTTACCTAAACCCCTAATTCGTTATAATCCAAAACCCCTAAAAGCTACTCAGGTCTGGCGTCCTCAACCATTCTAAGCCATTGTTTTCATTCAAGTCGGGGTTGGGTTCGGGGATGCTGCACGACCACAAGAACAAGGGCAGGGCGTTGGTCGCTGATCTCTGTCGTCATTTCTAAAGTGTCGGTTCAGCTTCCGGCGTCGGGACAACATCATCGATTGGGTTTCCATCTTCTCTTCCGTCGAAGAAGGAGCCCTCCTCCACCCACCTAGCAATTGATGATCTGGTTGCGATTTCTTGCTTCCAACTCGATTTGACCTCATTGATTATGGAAGTCGGCGCCGTGGAGCGTGATTTACCATCACAAATGGCAGAACCCTTGTCATTCAATCCAGTTGGAACTGGGGTGGCAAAACCCTTTTCACATACAACCAAATGACCATATTCACTCTTCAATAACCCCACTTCAATAACTAACGCTGGAGCCCATGATTTATTAGACCTGGAGACAACTAATCTGGAAGCACACACCACACAAATGGCAAGCTCCCTCTTTTGATTCGACCGGGAATCACGGCTGTCACCGCCTTGACCATCATCTTTCGACGAGCAGTCCACGGAGGAAGAAGTTGTTTCTTCTTCACCTTCTTCTTCAATCGTTGAGTTGGGGGGTAAAGAAACGGCCTCATCTCGGGGACGGCGGTGAAGCGGAAGGTTGGGGAAAACCCTATTCTCAATCGGCTGCGGGAACGCCAAAATGAGATGACTTTTATTTTCTTTTTTGTTTAATTTTTTTTTTAATTAAAAATTCCATCTCAGCCTTTTTCAGCCCAGTTTGCACTTCAGTTTGCCACGTCATAAAAAATCTAACAGCGATAATGGAATTTGACCGAAACTGACGGTCGGTGACTAGTGGTGAAATGATTAATAAAATTAGTGACTAGTAAGAAAGAAAAGTAATTCGGATGGCAAAAGTGAAAGATTTACGTAATTTGAGTGACCAATCGTGTAATTTAACCCCTAATAAATTCTCCTTCCCCTTTGTTGTCAGAGTCCAGAGTTTGAGAACTGAACTTTGGTATGTCTCCATATAAATTGGCATCAGCAATTACATGCTGAACTCACCTCAAGCTTTCGAGCCGCAATGTTATTCCTCAGAAATCTGGTAGTGACGCGAAACAAAAAGGGTTCATCATAATGTATGTTTCTGCAGTGGAAGCAATTGAGAGTTTTGCAATCGTAAGCTATTGTCTATTGGTCATGCAAACCATTGTTCTATTTTTTGTGTTAAATGAGAGAATGAATATATGCTCTGTAGCCAATATTAGATGTATCCCTTTGTTTCTTCTAATGTGGTTGTTTGTCTTTCGGCAGTACCAATTTGCAAGCTTTCCACTTTCACCAAACTTGTCTTTTTGCTCCATTAACAACTTCCTTTTACTGCTCTTTATCAGCTCATTTGGCATTTAGTAAAGGCTCACATTCAAAATCGGTGTGTTCAATCATTGGTCCTAGCCTCACCAGCTTAGGAATCACTGTTAGAAACCGATTTATCTAGGGTTTCTATATTTATTATTTTAATTATTATTAGGGTAAGTCTTATTAAGGTTAGTAGTCTTCTAGTAGAATTAGGTTTATTATTAGGGTTTTCTAGTATTTCCCTATATATATGTACTTTGGGTCATTCGTCAGATTAAGCAGAAATTAATAAGAAAAGTCATCTCCCCAAATCCCTAATCTTCTCTCAATCTCGTCTATCTTTCTCTCTAAAGACTTCGGTCATTCTATCTCTGTTCTTCCCCAAATTCTCTTCTCAAATCCCTAAATCCCCAATTCTGTTCTATAAACCCTAAATTCTCAATCTCTAGATCTGATCTGGAGACTCTAACATTTGGTATCAGAGCCCGGTTGCGAAATCGAGTTCATCACAACTCTCAACCGGGACCATGGAAACTGAACGCGTCTATGAAGATTTCATCCCCAAGGTCACTAAACTAGTGAAGGATTCATACATCGAGCTGTTCTTCTCATTGCCGCGGTGGTTCAAGACGGCAAACGTGAAATCTTTGTCCAATATAATAACAGTTCACGGTGAAGAACCATTTGATGAAGAATGTAGGTGGGGTCGCTTCGAAGCAAAGGTTCGGCTAAGGTCAGATTTTGACACCAACGAATTCTCGACTCGCTGGTTTAGCAGATACAGGCTGATTATCCATATTCCTAAGATCCAAACTGTGATGGAGTAGAACGTCGAAGTCGCGCCGCTCGAAGAATGGATTGCCGCTCCACCTGCTATTCAACTTTGGTCGACGACGGGTGACGAAGAAGAAAGTTTGGCGGCGGCATCATCCGAGGCCAACCCGGAAGCCCCTGCCTTGATTGCCGCAGCTCAGGAAAATGAGACTTCCGATACATCCCCTGCTAATATCGCCAATAAGAAAGAGGTGACCACTGAAGAAGAACCATCGGCTACCGTGGAGCCATTGCCAGCACCACCGTTAGCCATCAACGCCACTACGCCACTATCCCCTGCCATTGACAACATTGAACCAAGGAATGCAATTGAGGCGGAGCGGGAGAGCCAGTTTGCAGCAAGTTTCGTCAATGGTGGCTTTAAGAGAATCCCAGTCCGCACTGCGACCGGGAGATTCAAGAAGAAGGGACGACCAAAACAAAGACCTCAAACATGGTCTACAATGGACGGTAAGATGGAGCTGGAGATGATGGAGGTGCGGGTTGGCCTCCGTATCGTCGAACTGGCAGCTCGCTGCCGAGGAAGGAAGAATCAGAGGCGGAGGCAAAGAAGCCTTCGTCGGGGGAAAATTCGCCGCTCAAGCAGGAAGCATCGACGAGGATGGATGGGGCAGAGGATCCGACGGAGTGTCGTGTCTGGAGCGGATGGTGCCGTTTGCGGCATGGCCGCCGGAGAAAGAAGCAAGGAAGTTGCTGGGCGACCAAAGGAAGGGCACGACGGTGATGGGTTCATCGTCGATTGGGGAGAAGAAGCCGCGAGTAGAGCTGGCACTCGATGTGACTCATAGCCGCCGAGAGGGCTGCTGGGCAGCTGAGGAGGAGACGTTGGCGGCGGGCGGCGTGCCGAGGAAGAAGATTGCGGTGAACGAGATGAAGAGGTTGCCGCCGCCGGAGCTGAGAAGGGCGGTGAAGGCTGGGCTGCTGGCGGAGGAAAAGAGGGAGGACGGCAGAGTACTCCCCGCAAACCCTAAGTGGCCACCCCTGACCCTTTCCGCCAAACAGAAGGCGACTTCGTTGGGCCGAGTCAGTTGGCCTGGGTGTTTGGATGGGCCGCAGCAGAGCAAGCTCGATCGTGAGGAAGTTTTGGTGGGCCTTCTCCTGGGTAGGACGGAGGTCCGGCAGAGCAAGCTGGAAAGGATGGGAACAGGGCGGCCACACGATGATAAAAAGGCAAGCCTGAGTGGTAAGCTTTTCAATTCCTTAATTCAATTGGTGTGGAAATCTATTAAGGAAGAATGGAAGCCACGAGCAGGAGATGAGAGGAAGGAATTGTTTGGGTCAAATTCAAGCCCAATTAGCCATGGGTTTAGTTGGATGTACAGGGAAACATTGGCAGGTTGGGGCCAACATTGGATGGAAATTATTGACAACCCAATTAAAGTTTTCAAGAGCTTAAATAAGCATCGGTAGAAGGAAGAGTCATTCTCCGATTCGTATTGTGTGGATTTTGAAGAGGAGTTGGAATCGTCTGGCTATGGCGAGGAGGACAAGTGTCACAACATGGGAGAGGCATTGAAGGTGAAGGAAGTTATGGGTAAGAGGTTCATTTCTAAACTTGAGCGTGATTGGAAGAAAAGAAAGCGCAAGGAGTGGAGAAGACAAAACGCGGATTGCGGGGGAGATGTGAAGAAATGGGTCGAGTGGATCAACCTTGAGGACAAGGTTGGTCTGAAGGGGGAGGAGATGTTAGAAACCGATTTATCTAGGGTTTCTATATTTATTATTTTAATTATTATTAGGGTAAGTCTTATTAAGGTTAGTAGTCTTCTAGCAGAATTAGGTTTATTATTAGGGTTTTCTAGTATTTCCCTATATATATGTACTTTGGGTCATTCGTCAGATTAAGCAGAAATTAATAAGAAAAGTCATCTCCCCAAATCCCTAATCTTCTCTCAATCTCGTCTATCTTTCTCTCTAAAGGCTTCGGTCATTCTATCTCTGTTCTTCCCCAAATTCTCTTCTCAAATCCCTAAATCCCCAATTCTGTTCTATAAACCCTAAATTCTCAATCTCTATATCTGATCTGGAGACCCGTTAGAGACTTTGTTTCTAACAATCACAACACATTCCTCACACCACGAACCACAGGGTTCTCCCACTGCAACAACGATCCAACCACATTCGCGCGGATTGTCAATGGAAAGACACGAGGCCACCTCTCCTCCGCATACAATCTGAGAGCATTTTCTACTGCCACAGAGAAGGTCCGGACTCGATAGAAGCAACAAGTTTTCTCGCCAGAACTACGGAGTCCTCCTAGGCACATCAAGCTCCCTGACCCAGATTAGGTGTCATTGGGTGTCAAGCATCTCCAACGAGAACCATGTTCTCTCATGAAGGCCTAGGACTAATGCCAGGCTAATTCCAACGATCGACTAGCGGAGTTTTGCTTAAAGTTTCATCTGGGGTTATGTCAATCAAGTTGAGAAGATCTAATGGCCAGCTTTTGGCGAGGTCTTTGGCTTGTTGCTTTAGGATGGAGAGATCTGTGACTCGTGGAC